ACATGTTAAAATTACTTCTACTGTCGGGCAGTGGTGGCGCACTCCTTTATTCCCAGCCCTCGGGAAGCAGAGGCAGGCAGATATCTATGAGTTCCACCCTGGTCTACAAAGCTAGTTTCAGGACAGCTGCCAAAGCCACAGAAAATCCCTGTCTTGAAAACACCAAAAAAATTACTTCCTACTGACTTGTTGCATATTTTGTTACAAAACCTTCTCACATATTTTACGGTTTAGATTACTGTATTTTATAAACATATAATACTGGCACTACAAACCTCAGTAGGATGCTAGTGTTTTATTCGTGTAACCGAAAGATGTTATCTAGCACAAAGTTGCGTTGCTTAGATATATCCAGGATGATGATATGACATGCCTATTTAATCATGAAATAGCTGAAGAATACTGCAGTGGGGTACATGCCCTTAATCTCGGCACTCAGGACCGAAAGCAGGTGTATCCCTGTGCATTTTAGACTAGTGTAGGCTATAGGAAATTGTAATTCAAAAGCATGGGTTCAGTGCCCTTATGTGTCTTAAATTAGCATTAATCCTGTCACACACACACAGCTGCATGCAGACATAAACATCTTATAGCAAAAGCATCTTTATTTCTTTAATTTATTTAAAAATAAAAATTTACACAAAGACTATTTAGGAATAATGTTCAGTACAAAATAATCCTTGTATTGACTACTAACAATCATCTATCGATTTTGTCCACATTAAACACTGTGTACTTTTACAGATTACCAACTGAGAACAACAAGTTTGCTCTGGTCTTGGCTTTTGCCCTGGATGAGGTCAACAGGAACCCTGATTTATTACCAAATAAATCTTTAGTATTTAATTTCACAGAATATAATTGCTTTAGGGTGTCTCAGTTATACAGTCTCTATCAAACTGTGGAACAAGATCCTGAAATCACCCCTAATTATGCATGTAAGAAAATTCAATGTCTTATGGTGATTACAGGACCATACTGGGAAACATCTGTGATGTTTAGGACATATATGGAACTTTATGGAAATTTATATAAACCAACAGGTAAGATTTCCATGGATTGTGCTTGAGTGAAATGTTTTTTCCATTGACAACATTCAAAGATACTAAAAATGAGTTAGGAGGGGACTAGCATTACATTTATGTCAATTGGTATAGCTTATGAGTACTATTCAGAGACTGATGGTCCTTCTGCTTTTCCATGTTTGAAATAGAAATGATGGAAGAAATAATATCTAAGGGTATTAGGCTAGGTGGTTTTCTAGACCTGTTTTCAGAAAAAATGATTTTTACAAGTTCTTAGGAGTGCATAGTACCTCTCGCTGATCCCTGCTTCCTAGATCATACAGCTTACCTATGGACCTTCCCATCCAATGCTGAATGATCGTGAAAAATTTCCCAATCTGTATCAGATGGCCCCCAAGGATACATCTCTAGCCTTGGCCATGGTCTCTGTCATACTTTACTTCAGGTGGAACTGGATAGGCCTGGTCATCTCTGACAATGATCAGGGTAAGGAATTTCTCTCATATTTAAGAAGAGAGTTGGAAAACAATACAATCTGTTTGGCCTTTGTAAATATGATTCCAATCAACACACAGTTGTACATGTCAAGAGCTGAAACTTATTATAACCAAATTGACACATCATCCACGAATGTTGTTATCATTTATGGTGACACAGACAGTACTCTTTCTGTGAGCTTTCAAATGTGGGAATCCAGAGGTTTACAGAGAATATGGGTCATCACCTCACAGTGGGATGTGACTATTAGTAAAAGAGAATTCATTCATGACTCATCCCATATGACTCTAGTTTTTGCACAATATCATGGTGAGATTTCTGGCTTTAAAAATTTTGTCCAGAGAATGAACCCTCTGGAATACACAGATGAATACCTTGCAAGGCTGGAGTGGATGAATTTTAACTGTGACGTCTCCATGTCCAATTGTAATACACTGAAGAACTGCTCTTTGAATGACGCTATGGAATGGGTATTGGTACGGACTTCTGACATGGACTTTAGTGATGACGATTACAACATATACAATGCTGTGTATGCTCTGGC